CAACAACAACAACAACAACAACAACAACAACAACAACAACAACAACAACCACAACCACAACCACAACAACCACAACCACAACAACCACAACCACAACAACCACAACCACAACCCATCAAAAACTGCAAACTGCGAAACAGGGGTGGGCAGCCCGATCCATAGATGGCTGAAGCTTGTGATGTGGTGTGGAGTGCCGAGGCCTTCAATCTCTGTCTGCGGCTCTCGTGCTTCGGACCAAACCTAATGCATTTTGGTGCACTCTTCGTTAAACAGCCTTGCTCGGGGTGAGCGTGCTGGTGGTGGGGGGAGGTGAATCTTGCAAGTCATTGCTCGTGCAATTAAAGCTTGTTTCAGCCTGTAGCATCGTTAGCATTCTGGATACGGCACAGCCGGCTACTGGCCGATCGCCAGTCCCTGGACATGAAACACAAGTCCAAACAAACAAATTTTTTGAAGTGTCCCTGTCCACGCATTCCGACATGTTTCCTGTTTCAGTACTCTATATTATATGTAATGTCCTTTTGTCATCTACATTATGGCAGTTCAAATCGGGGTCACTTGGTTGGAAAGGTGTTAACTGGTTCTTCTCCCAGTTTGAGAAAGATCACGAGTTGAAAAAGTTGGGAATGTTGATTGTGAATGTGTGTGCCTTGTGATGTGTGATGTTGGAACCATCCTACTGAGTGTTTTCGAAGACTTTCTCTATCTCTCGCACTCTAGTGAGCCTCTCCTGTGCAAGGCTAAGCCAGCCCCAGCCCAGGCCCAGCCAGAGGGCCACAGGCGACATCAGCGCAGTCGTCCAAGGGATATGATGAGCTGTGGAGATCCACATCGAACACATACCAAAAACCCATTGAACATAGCAAGAACCAGTGGGGAGTCTGGAAAAAATCATCGGAAAATACAACACACTGTTGAGATCTGTTGAGCAGTATATCTTTCACTCTCCTTAAGCAGTTATTTCAACTGGACCCATCGGCCCATGAATCCCGGCTTGCACCGCACCGCCGGTGGTCGATGGCAGCGACCAAAGAACATCACCGTCTTTGCGGTCCCAGTGAAGCAACAAATCATCTACAGGGCTGGTGATGGCTGGTGACGACTGTGATGTTCCTATTGCATATCGAGATCTTAGTCTAAGAGAATCCCCTCTCACTCCAGTCTCTGAAGGTAGGAGGAAGCGGTGGCAGTCCCATTCCATGCTGTTTTCACGGCGCGGACGTTTAAAGCATCTAAACACATTAATATTGATTTGAATCGAGGATGGGTAGAAGCTGCCCTGTTGCTCACAGCACTAGTTGCGTGGGGTTTGCTCATGCCTTACGTTTCGATCAAGGCCAACCTCATCCCATGGGGCAAGCTCAAGTGATTTTGGTTTTGGTGAAAACATTGGCTGTGCTGAGCCTAAAGAGATGTTCTGCGCAAAGCAGCACCCTCCGAACTCTCCACCTCGATTCCTGGGCCTGAAGGATCCACCCACCGAAAAAAGCAAGACAGGCACAACATGGCACAACTCACCTTTACCTTTCTGGCCTTTCGAACCACCAAACACCAAACACCAACACCCAGCAAACCACCTCCAAAGATGGGTGGAACACCCCCCAGGTCAGGTCGACCGATGGGCCACGACAGGTGGCCCTTCCCCCGGGAAGCCGGGCCGTCGACCCATGCGTCATGCCGGTGAGCCGAAACGGAACGGGGAGATGGGCAATCCATACGGGTCAAGGCCGGCACTTCGCCCCAAGGCATCCTCCCCCACCGTCCCAGCCCTGACAGGAGCCGCACAGGAGCTTTGCCTGAGTTGCAGGGGGTGAGCACAAGACATGACTGGATCCTCTCAAGCTCCTTCTGAAATTGTGTGCTATGTGCCGTTGAACCATCAACAGGTCGGTGCGCTTCCCGAACAAATGCATCTCAACAACGAAAAGGTTTTAGCTCCCTATAGTTCTTTCTTTGGATGGGCCAGCAAAGCACCTCTCTGCTATTGGATGGGTGACAGATCTAGACTTCAGCCTGGCTGGTGGAGCTGTCTTCAGCTCCGAAGCCAGTTGGAGCCCATGCGAGCAGTTGATGCCGGGGGAAGTCCTCAGCCTCCATCCTCCACAAGAGCGCGCGCGCGTGCGGCCTCCGGTGCCCCGCCTGCCAGCTGGGCTTCTGCCGCCTGTGGCGATCTGGCTTCACAGCTCAGACTGTCTGCTGTATGAGATCAATGGCTTGTACGAGTCCTCTGATTGGATCGTTACTGATAGAATCTTTAGATCTATTGTTTTGGTGCAGGGTGGGCTCATCACTTTCCTCAAATGGCCGAGGGATCTTGCAAAACATCAAACCAAAATGGAGAATCTCACAGGTCACCAGCATCAGCACACCCAACCATGTCACATCCTTGATCTCCAAAATTGTATGAGGAGGGGAGACAGCCAAACAAAATCCACGTGCACCATCTGTTCACCATCTTAACTAAGTGTGAGCTTTCTCAGGCCTTTTCCAAGACGTCATACTCAGTCATACCAGGAGTCACAAGACGGGGTGCCGAACGAACGGAGGATGGGGTGCCCCTGTCACATCCACTCGCTGGATGGATGGGACTAAAAACCACCCCGTCTTATCACTTCTGGTGAGTTCGATTTTCACTTCGAGCACCGCTTTAGCGCCACCCCTCTCCAGCCTCGCGTAGCAGCGCCTCAATGCCCAAAGCGAGGTTCAGGCGTTGCCACCTGCGGTGCCGCTGCCGAAACCGGTGCTGAGTGTCGAAGGTTGTTGGGCTTTGGCGGGTTTTTAGATGTTTTTGGCAAGGAAGAGGGTCCGAGGGTCTTTCAATGTACAGTGATGTCTGGTCCGAGATGTACAGTAAACCGTTAGGGGGGCCGTCTAAAAGTTCATTTCACAAATGTCCTGGATCATGCCTTCCATCTGGTCCAGTTCGACGATTCAGTTTCTATGATGAATAGGGTATATTTTGGGTCTATCACCTGTAACAGTGGATGATGATGGTTAGTAAAGGCCTTGTTCAAAAATTATGATAATCGTTTACTGACTGTTGCAGGTAATAGGACAAACCCTAGGGTATATTAAAATTATCAATTCTCTCCTCCACTTGTTCAACAAACCGTCAGACCCTCCGTGGCCGAGGACCCCAGGGACCCCAGGCTGAGCATCGGTGAGCTTCGCCAAGCGGGTTAAGCTGTGGATCTTCTGGCGCTGAAGTAGCTCCAAGGCTTCCTGGAGGTCCTCAAGGGGGTGGACATTGGGGTGAAGATTCGACCGCCAATTTGGGATTTAACAGGTGATTGAAGCAGGCGAAACGGTCAAAACCAGGAGCCCTAAACCAGGGTGGTTGACCATATCAGGTAGTCTATTCTGTTCATTCTTGGGGATCAAGCAGGGTTCCCCGATTTTGACCCACGCCCATATTGTAATATTAATTCATACTATATTATAGGCTAGGCGAACTGCTGTCTTGTTCTCAATATTTTAGGTATAAGTTCACAGTCAGATGGAAGGACAAGGACAAGGAAAAGGAAAAGGAAAGGGAAAGGAAAGGAAAAGGAAGAGGAAGAGGAAGAGAAAGGGGAAGAGGAAGAGGAAGAGGAAAAGGACAAGGAAAGGAAAAGGAAAGGAGGGCCAAAAGTTGTGTAGCAGAGCCGCTCGCAGGGACAAAAGTTAGGGGTCCGTTTTGGGGTGAAGGGATCTAGATATACGGTCATATGTGGGGGGGGGGAGGCGGCGTAATCCATTCGCTCCCAAAACGGAGCCCCAAACCATTGGCAGATCATGATGCATACCGCACACATGTTAAATTGACGCCGTTACATTATCATGAAGCGTTTACATGGAAAAACGGTGTAAAGAATAAAATGCCTGTAGCGAGGCGACTGTCCTAAAAAGAGGCAGGGGAAGAAGAAGAAGGAAGGAATAGAATGCCTGTAGTCAACAGGTCGCCCTAAAAAAGGGAAAGCCAAAAGCAAAAAGAAGACATCAAAGTCAAAGCCAAGAGAAAGAACATCATAGAGAAACATGGACTGCGGACAGGGAACTGGGGGCAGGGGACTTGGGACAGGGAACTGGGGGCAGGGAACTGGGACAGGGAACTGGGGACAGGGAATTGGGGGCAGGGAAGTGGGGGCATCAAACTGGGGACAGGACTTGGGATCATGCAAAGCCGTGACGTTACATAAAGATAGTGGTACGTGCTAGCTAGGGAATGCACTAAAATAAATAGACTGAGCGTCGCGCTTGCAAATTTTTAGCTGTCATCAAATGGACGGGATCGTCGTGCACGAATTAGGAGCGCTTTGGCTCCGCTTTGTTGATGTCCACCTGGGGGATGATGTCGATTATCGACAACTTAATCCCCTTTTCGCCCTTTTCATCGCACCACGCCTGCGGGGGAAAGCGAGCATCGAGAGAAGATCGAAACAGAACATAAACAAAATAACATAATGATTGAAAGTTAGCCTTCCGTCAACTGTACGCGAGCGTTTCGTCTTCAAAATCCCATGCCTCCAGCCGCTGAATGCGCCATTCTAAATTAACCATCGCCCTCCGTGGAGTACAAGTCATTGCCTCAGGACACGTTGCGTTAACACGAAGCCATTCAAACGAATTTCATTTTGCCGTTTATTGTGCATTATTTTCAGCCAAGCTGCCTGCAACCACGAGGGCGATCCTGTCGCCGCGACGCCGAGCTTTTGACCATAAGTGCCACCAAAACGCGTCGTTGGAGAAGCCTTTCCCCCACGCCGGGTATAGACAGGCAGCCCAAACGACGCTTCAGCTATGGCACCGTCATCGCGATCCTGGACGGAGCGGAGAGTTAAAGACATGAAACGACCTCAAACACTCACGCGAATGGTTAAAGAAATTTCACCCCGCTCCTGAGATAGAGGATCGCGAACTGCCACCAAAGACGAGTCGCTGAGAACCATGTCGGGACTCAACTCCTGGAGAAAACGACGTTTCAACTCAAAGTGCGTTTAACACATGACTTACGCTGCCTGAGTTTCAACAAACCCCTTTCAAGCCGCCATCAAAGGGGCGAGAGACCCCGCGAGCGCGACGACCCCCTCCGGCTTCAAGTGGTAGCCGTCGATGTGGAACGGCGTACCCGCAACAAGAAATCAGCAAGCAATGCTCACCAGAGAGAAAAATGAGTTTGTACTTTGGCGTTTTCAGAGCGCGTTCACGTCGGTCCTGGGATCTGAGCAATCTCGAGGATCTCCGCTGCCATTTTGCAGCGTGCCCGGGCATGATCCCTGATCACTGAGACGTTTCGCGCTCACCAGTGCACACGCACAAAGGCATCCAAGGTACTATCACATCAAACGCATCCAAGGTACTTGATAAGCCGGCATCCTTCGTGAGGCGGGCGCGATGCTCTGGTGGACTTCGCTAATGCTCGGGATTTAAGGCTGCGTCGATCGCGTGACGCGGTTTCCATTCAGCAGTGATTTCCCTAATCACTGATGTATCTTCACTGGTGTTCACCCGCGAATATCGCGAAGGTCGGCATGTTTCTTTTCCAGGATCGAGTTTCGCGTCGCCGCGGCCTCTAAATCACCCAGCGACCGAGCGGTCAGCAGATTCAGCCGTATATATAAAATGGAATCACCGTCGAAACGGCCATAACAATAACAAATTCCCAGGGCTCATCAGCTGAAAAGTTATCAAACCAGATGAGCTGTTGGCTTTCCGCTTAGACCGCTTGGGAGGGCCGGTGGGCTCACCTGGCTTCCAGCCTTCAAAAAAAGGATCATCGCGACGGATGGTTGCCACCGAATGTAAATCTCTAGACTGGACTTCACTCCTGCCGTTAAATTTTGCACAGATATTTGCATCCGCAAAGACCTGCGCCATAGCGGCAGTTGCAGCTGGATCTAAAACTTTAAGAGCTTCCCGATGTATACGGTAGCCTTCGGGCAATGCACTTTTGCAGAGCTGAGTGAAGCCTGCCTTCGTCCAGAACTCCGGCCCGGACGGTTTCTTCATAAACCATGCATCCATGCAACGACGACGCTCCTGTTTCGAGAGCGTGCCGCGACCCGGTTTCGAGTCCATAATCGAATCGTAGCACTCATTTGCGGCATCGAGTGCCTCACACAGTGGATGCCCCAAAGCGTTTGCCAGAGCTGCGTCTGAATCTTTCGGCCTGAGTTGCGCGCTGCCAGCTGCGTACCCAGTTTTCCCTCTTTCGGTTTACATTGCTGAACTGCTGATAGGAAACTTCCTTTCGCCAAGGCACTGTCCACAAGCTGGAGTCTCTGTGCCTTCTGCTGCGATCGCTGCCATTGGCGTCCTTAGATTGATACAAAAGTTTCTCACACAACAGCTGGAAAAACAACGCCCACCAACAAGAACACGGACCACTAGGCTTCGTCCTCTTAGGCTTCCTTGACATGCGAGGTCGATGCCATGTCCTCAGTTCAGCGACCAGGCAGAAACACGCAAAGCGAACTTTGGCTGAACGTCGCCAGGCCGCAAACCACCGAAGTTTTCAGCGTTGGAGCCCCGTTTGAAGCAAGTCGCGCGAGAGAGCCAACTGCGGGACACGAAGATGTTCTGGGAATTGTCGGCTCTGGTCGACTCTTAAATTCCATCCCCCAAATTCCATTCCATGGCATGCATCCAGGATTGAGCGATGGAGCAGGATAAGGTCGGACCAAGGCCTGTGTGTTGGGGGTCGTGCCCGCAGGGAGGGGTGTTGCATCGGTGGCGTCGAATCTAGAATCGCACCATGCAGAAGCCAAACATAGATGACTCTTGAATAAGTTTGATATAAGATTATCTTTGATCTTCTTAAGGTACGGCAAAAGGGAGGAGAAATGAGCCAGGCTAGTGGGGCCCAGGTGTCACTTGGCCAACCAGCGACCCCGCCAGGGTGGTGATGTCTGGTTCTAATCTGTCACCGGGCACCACCGAAATCTCCATAAACGCTGCCATCACCCGCTTTGACGCACGACACACGACACACGAAGCATGGCCTCTGCATCCTCCGGGTGCTCTGCACTGAGCTGTTGGATGAAGTCCTCATCCGCGGAACGCGGAACCAGCGGCGCGAGGCGTGGTGCTCGCGTGGAGGCTTGGCGGACTAGTCATCGTTCGGGGAGTCTGGTGGTGTTGCTCCTCGAATGATGACTGTTGATACAAAAGAAAGTAGTATATGTAATAGTCGTTATATGTGATATATGATAGTTAATTTGGGTAGGTAGGCCAAAATGGTAAAATCCAAGTCTGCCAGAAAATCAAGATCGTAATAATCTGATTTAGATTACCACAAACAAAAACAAGGTTTTGGAGGTATAATGATGACAAGCATGCATCATGAACCGTAACTATATATAAAGTTCAAGTCCCAAATCTCACCCAGAAAGCTTCAAACATAAATGCAGCAGATTCTTTTTCTGGCTCCTGACTTGCTCTGGAATGTGTTCCTTAACATTTGTGCTTAACATTGTTTAACATTGTCTTGCAAATGAAAGCAACATGAAGGCAAATTCAAGCAACATGAAAGCAAAGGACATGAACTCCAAAGGAGACGGTTATTGAGGGATATTGACCGCCCACGAAAAACTATGATGCAGCTTAAATGAATAAAGAAACTCTACAAGAATGGGTTTAGATCTCAATTTGTGGGGGGGGTGTTCTTCGTCATGCAACCCACATCCTAATTTTATGGTACAACAAGTTGGATCACCTCATCGACCCGCTCCTCGAGAGATGCCATGGCCGATGTGAGATCACTCACCGTGGCGGGTTGTACTGCGTCGAGGCTGAGTTGTACTGTTGTGGTTGTCGTCTGGCGGTCGGGGAGTCCGTCAGTGAAGGTCCGTCCGCCAGGTTGGAGTCTGGTTGGGATCTGGTTGGGATCGGCTTATGGGTCTGAGAATTCCTTCCACAGAAGTAGCAAAACCTTCTGAGAGCTTGAAAACCAGTTCCCTGGTATGGCAGGCAGCTAGACACGAGCCACACATGGAATGCTGCTCTGCCATGGACCGAACATTTGTCCGAAGCTGAAGCTAGTCAGTGAGTCATCAACGGCTAAACCCAAAGTGCCAAATTCAACTACAGGCACAAGTGACATACAGTAAACCTAGATTCCTATAAGCATCATGCCTCGCTGCCTCGCAGTCCGCGGCTGTTCGCTGGCGGTTTGGCCCTGATTGGAAATCACTTGCAGTGGCTGGATGGGCAAGGCTTGAGGAGGTTGGACCTCTCCACCGAGGCCATCAGCCTTGAAGCTTCTGCGAGGCCGGGCTTGATCGTCGACGTGTTTTCGCCTCCCAATTTCTTCACGCTTGGGTGAGAATGAAAGCATGGAAAAGCATGGAAACAGGATGAAAGACCAGAAGGAGGGAACATTCAGAGTCTGGGATCCAATTATACATCCAGCTTTGGGGCAGTATTTGTAAATGTTTGTAAATTCCGGGTTCACATTGACCCTCCAAGATCCAAGTGGAAGGGCTTATGCACGAGGCTCGAGCGCGGGTCGGCTTTAGTTTGGAAGATTGCATCAGTTGCTGTCCCATGTTTTGAATCTCACATACAGAACTCCGATATGGGCGTGGATGAACACTTCGGCAGTCTGACTACAAAAAAAAAACACGCAGCTGACACTTCTATAGGAGTCATGTTCTAAATACATACAAAATCATGGCAAACTCATGTAACATCGGTGCAGTCGTCCTGACCAAACAGCTCAGCTCACCTTTTCTTCTCCGCCCGGAATCGGGACACGAACTCCCCTGAACGTGCGACGCGCGCGATGATCGCACGAGAAAACGCCCGGCTGTACAAGGATGGGGCTCTGCTCGTGCTTGGGCTGTCAGGAGAACCCTGCTATATCCTCCTGGAACCCCAAACAACCAGAAAGAAATTGATTTCCCATGTAAAGGATTTCAATTGCCCATATTGGAACAACCATTTGTTTCTGGTTGATTGGGGTTCCAGGCTGCGATACACTCCCTGGAACTGGCCATGGAAGTGAACCCCCGCGTTTCTAGAGGAAAATGGTCTCCTTTCGGGGCGATGGATGGCATCCGCGTAACCATGTTCCTTCGCAGGAGTGTTTTCAAACATGAACGAATCCATGTGTCCGTTGTAAAACACTCCAAATGGAGGAATTGAGAGTGGTCATAGATGGTCATGAGTCATGGTGTCATATATGAACACTTTACAGTTTTGGAATGAATTTAGTTCATCAGCAATGAAATCGTGATGGTTGGACTTTTACTGCTCCCTGGCCAGGATTGAGCCAGGTGATGAATGGATTGATTTGCAAAGAAGCCCCCAACCCAAATCCGCAAGGCAGATACAACTAACCATTGGATTCCAGTACAACTAACCAGGGCAGGTACAACTATGCAGGACCCTACAGGGTCTGCCTTGATTCCAGTACACACCCGAATCACCCGAACACGATGCAAAACACAGAAATACAAACAACACATGAACAACTGTTGTCAGTGATCAAGCACAGAAGGCCTGGGATCAAGCATTGAAGGTCAGGGCCAAGGTTGTTCTCCAGACACCCGAGGTCTCGTGGCTATGTTCGTGACTGGTGTCTCTCAGCCGATGGACAAATACGAAAAGGGGACCTTCCGAAATCCGTTCAGGACACCTTCGACTTCTGATGTTGAGACTCGTCAGACACCCCCCATGTTGGGGACAGTCCTCACTACTTCATGAGCTCATCTTCAATGCCCATTGCCGCTTGGGAGGAGGCTGCGACATCCGCTGAGAGGCTTCCTCCTGTGCGCAACGGTTGTCAATCAGCTCCACGAAAAGGGTGAAAATTACAAAAGTCCAAACAATACCTTGCACGTCTTAGCGGTTTAGTTTTGGTATGTTTTGTTGATCAAGGGAAAGCTGTCAAATCCCAAAAGTGGCCAATTAGTCCAGAATCATTTTCTGAACAAAAGGCTTGGGGAACACAGGCAGCGAGGACCGATGTGACCATCAAGCTCGTGCACCCTACTTGGTGCTCAATCAAGCATTGCAGGCAGTATAGACGTGTTTTGCTCTTCTTGATTTAAAAGTTATCTTTAAACATGTATCAAGTTGAGATATTTTGTTCGATTTGTCACCTCTGTAACCTTCTCAAAGTCACCTCCCCTGCACATGCAGGAATACAATATTCTCCTATATATATATATACACACGTTGTGGAAATGAATAACTATTAAGAAAAGAAAACCAACAACAACAACAACAACAACAACAACGACAAGGATACAAAACTGACTGATCTCCGCTGATCTCAATCAAATGTGGAAAATGATTGATCAAGAGGCCTATGTCCAATCCAAAAAGCACACATCTGTTCTAACCCCCAGCGTCCTCCAACGGAGTCTCAGCCGGCGCAGCTCCGGGACGCCGGGGCAAGAACGGCGTCGGCGATGCCGCCGCGGCCGCAGCTGGCGCAGCCGCCGCAGGCGCGGCCGGCGCGGGCGGTGCGGGGGCACGTTGCGAGTCGCTGCGCGTCTGGCTGTTCCGTGGTTGCTTGGGGCGTGGCTCGTCGAAGTCATCGGCAGAACGTTTGCTGCGGCCTGGGAGGCCAGGTTTGGGGCGGACTTTGGAGGGGGGTGATACACAAATTGCCAATGGGTATATACTGCGTATATATACATGGCATCTGTATGAATGTAGGTGGTCCATCCCAAAGAAACGAAACATAATCTACCAGCAGGTGCCCAAAATCCTAGAAAATGCTGGACCTTTGGTGTGTTGCGAGCCTTCAAAACATTGCAAAAAGAAACACCAAGTTTCACGGCCAGAACGCAACTGAAAGAAATTGCCACTATAATCAAAAAGAAGGCGTGGACCGTTCGCCCCTGTTTGCAGCATTCATTTCCGCTTCTTCTTTCGCTGTTATTGTTTGGAGAGGTGGCCTGGGGGCGGGAATGTCTTGACTGACGCGCTTGTTGTTCCTAAAGAGAGGGGTTGTTTGTGGAATGTCTTGAGACTTTTTATAGCCTTTCAAAGGACCCAGTTCAGCATCTCAGATCTCACAGCACATTTTTACAGTTGATTGCCAAGACGGAGCGCTCGGCGGAGTCTCAAACCCACAAGACCCGCAGCCGCGTCCCTGCTTGCCCGGCCTCGTCCTCGACCTCCTGGAGATGTCTTGAAGCACTGGGCATCATGTTCATTCATTTTCCCATCTAAGAATCTCATATTGGGGTTTGTCCAAAATACCTCCTCCCAAAAACCACTCTTGCGCTGGCCTTGGGCCAACCTTGTGCATCTCTTGTGCGAACGCAATAAAGCAACGGTTTCTGTTCAATTGTCTAGTATAATATTTGTTTAGCATTTTGTACAAAGACATCTTGCACGAAACTTTACCCCGGCCTTGAGCAAACCTTTTACGATGAAGGTTTTAGACCACCTACTAAATCAAACACATTGTGCTACTAGAAACATCATGGTCCCAAAACAAATGCTATCAAAACTACTATTATGCTCACAAATCTGACACGTCCAAGGGTGCGTTGGAACCCGCGGATGGGGGGGTCTAGCAGGACAATTTACTGGGTTGGCGATTCCATCCCCTAGCCAAAACTTGCTAAAGCAAAAGTAGCTCCATCTAGCTGAAGCGAGCTTTCGTGATTTTGTTATGCAGGTTTTAAGGACGACTCCCACCAATATTGTAAAATTTACACATATCATATGCATATATAAGTACGCAAATGCTCAGAAGCATAATAAAACGATCTAGAACGAGTATACTCCTCAGTCTTGACATGTTCTTGTAACGGGCTTTCGGGCCACTCCATGACGCTCTGTGAACGCTTCACCTTTCACAACCTCAAGAGGCAGGCACGATCCACCCCCAATCGTCATGCGACGAAGAAAGACGTTGTTCAAAAGGTCAAAACTAGGAACATCGCGTTGAGAGCAAGCCACATCCCAACATTGCAACACAACCCCCCAAAAAGAGAGGTTTGGTTGATGAGACTGAGACGAGTGACAGTGAATATCCATTTTGCGTCAACCGTACCTGGAACACCCGGAAAATGTGTCTGGACCATCCGTTTGGGGTCTCCAACCGAATACCCAGTGCACCACCTAGACTCAAAGATCTCCATTGGACACCCATTGGATGGTTCTGGTCTGTGTGTTGACATGTTTTGATAACATCCAATTGACCGCGTTTTTGCAGCCCAAGCATCCCAAAAAAGCTTCTGCTGCTATCCCGGTTTGATTCAACAGGATTCAACATTGGTTTTGCTCAAGGAACCTTCAAAAAACAACAATGATCTTCACCAGAAGGGGTAAACACCAGGGTAAGAAGCTACTGGGGGCTCCTGGCCCTACTACTAGGAGCGATCGGACGCTACGAACGGGGCTCCTGGCATCGCTACGAACGGAGCATTATTGCTTCTAGTAACAAGAAACTACTAAGGGCTCCTGGCCTTAGACACCACCCGATCCGCCCAGCGCTGGAGACTTCTCCCCGCATGAAAAACCACTCCTCCTCGGCTGCCGCGACCGCCACGCCCGCCTGGTGCGACGAAGAAAGACCCGCCGTGACCGTGGTGGGCCCAAAGGATACGGGGCTCAAGGGGGGGCTCAAGGGAGATAAAACGGATATGAGAACAGGAATCATTTGTTCTCAACACAACTTTGTTAGTGGTTTTAATTAAGAGTACACCAGATGCATGGCCGAAGCCCCATGAAAAATCATTCACATCATTTTTTGATGCTCGTGGTGGTGTCCTTGAAGCATTGCTATGTCATGTGTGTCTCATTGCATCTTTGCACGCTGCTCACGAGAGTTCTCAAAAAACCTGACCTGATCAGCAACTTCCAACCTAAGCGATGGCCTCCAACCTAGCGATGGCCTCCAACCTAATAGCAATGCTTTATCTGGATGTGCCTGTCCAGCGCATGACTTCAGTGGATTCGGCTTCAAGCATGTTGGAGCTACGCTTTCCGTGGATGGCATGGGCGACCCCGAAAAACTCGACTTGGACCATGAAATCTTCATACCCAACAGCTGCCATGAATCCAGGGAGCGTCATCGTACGCAGCTCGGCGTACGCACCCAATGCAATCGTCCAGAATCTAGCATGCCGCGTTCGATCACGCACGTACCATGCCACGCCTCGCCCTCGTGCCTGGCTGCACGACATCTGAATGATGGGACATTGCCAATGAGGAAGGGCATTGACACAAAACTGCAGATCGATATCTTTGGAAAGTCCAATCATATCGAATAGTCCTCAATGATCGCACATATTCTTGTTACTCAAAACACGAAACCCGAAGTGCTGAACACCAGAGTAGTCCTGTCGCAAGATTCTGGGCATTGTCTTGGCAATGTCTCTCACGCCCTCGTGTGCATAATCTTATCATATATGATATCCCACGCTGTGAGCTTCATACAGTGGAGCCCAATCCCACCCCCATGAAACTGAATCAGTTGAATAGACTTGTCTTTCCTACGCTTTCTTCCTGCCTATGGGTGAGGGTACTTGGTGTGAAGGGCCCCTCCGAAAGCGTGGTTTGGGCCCACCCTGCACTTGACATGCTAGCTAGACATCTTGGTGGAGAATAGGGTTTCAATGAAGGTTTCCCTAATAAGATGCCAAAACAGGCTTCCAAACAAACGAACATTTCCATTTGAGGGCTACTTTCACCAAACTTTGCTTGCATGGAGCGTCTATGGAGCGTCTATATAGGTTGAATCATCCTTGGACATCCAGAAGGTAATTCAGTCAGCAGGTCACGGTCACCTTCTTCTCGCCGCGCCAAGCATTGCTTGGCTGGATCTACCCTTGCAAGTTGCCTTGCAAGAATCCAACCACAATCCAAACAAATAATTGTACATATTGCCTAAATACGTCTCACTTCCGACATCTTCATGTTTCTCGAGCATGTTGCTTCTCTACTATTGCCTGCACTTCCCACATCTCCTCCATCTCCGACATCTCCACCACGGGTTCGTGTCCGGTTCGTGAAACCGGCCTCCGGTTCGTCGAAGAAGGCGGTGGGTGGTAAGGCCGTCCCCTGCGGCCGCGGCACGCGGTGATGCGAACGGTGGTTGTTGGAACGAATGGATTCGGACGGACGTGGGATGCGTTCCATATCCATCCATATGATTCCATATCCTCATATCTTATCAACAGGCATCAAAGAAACAATCACCTGGGGAAGGTGCGGACATGGGAGGTTTCTGTTTAAAACCAAATCCTCATGATTCAAGCTTCATGTGGTCAACTTCAAACGATTGGACGTTGGAAGAGGGGGGTACCTCAACCCAAGCATGGAATCATAAACATAAATGAGCTGAACAAACAATTGTAACTAAGAATAACTTTCTGAGGGTGAGGGTACGACTAAACCATATAAAGCCCGGATGCGGAATGTTCTATGCTTGTGGCGTTCCTTCCAATCATGATCTTTCGCTGCTCGTTCGTCTGTCCATCTGTCTGAATAAGGCACCTGCTCCCCAGCATTTGAAAAGAGAGGGGAGCGCTGTGAGCGGCGCGTTTTTCGATGAACATGAGCATTTTTCAACCTTTTGTTTTTGGTTTTATTTTTTTTGAATTTTGGAAAATTGGAATTTTGGAAATTGCCTTTGGGGGAGGGGGGGGGTTGAGGCAGAATAGGATTCTTTCAGTGGCACAAAAATCAATGGAAACACAATACAAATATAGAAACAAAATACAAACAAAATGAAACAATGCAAAAACGCGCCGCTCAGAGCGCTTCTTTATGTTTGAAAAAGGGTTCAACGAGATAGCCCCAACCAGGATGATGACCATGCACAACCCGCATTTCCAACTAAAACTTGTCCTGGTACTGCATTGCAGTGTGGAGAGCCCTTGAGACCCATCATAGGCTCTGTGCGCCCAAGAGGGGTCCATCGCATGGAGCGCGTGGAGCAGCAGTTCACCTAGACAAACTCAGCTCACTCCCTCCGCTACTTTGCTGGATGATCTCCGATCCGACTTGGGTTTGGCTTGGCTTCACAGTTCAGCAGCCGAACACACGTGGCGCGGCCCTCCGCCCTCCATGACCCACACCCACCATAAACACCCACCCCGACGTCCTCAGCTGGCTCATCAAGGCCCTGAGCCCACATCCAGCGGTGAACAGGTTTCGTTGGTGAACAACACGTGTCCACTCCGCACTCAATGGGTTGGAGCATGACAACGAAAAGTGGTTCTCATGGCGCAGCTATGCTGGTGCTGGTCAAAACGGTCATCAACATGAGGCTTCGTCATGGTTTGTTCCTCCCTTGTCAATTGGTCAATTGGTATACGGAACAAAGTCAAGTGATGGACGGTTGGTTTGTCACTTTCTCCCTGAAACTGAAACAAGCACTCTAGCTCCACATACCTCGATGCAACCACCCTGCTGATTCAAAAGTGCCTGTTTTGTTTTAGTTGCAAACACAAACCATACAGAAACTTCCAAGGATCCACGATTGGCATATTTAGATATACAACACCTGGTGATACTTCCAAGAATCCCCTGATACCTAAACCTGGCGCAAAAACATAATTACCTCATCAACTTTCTCATCGGAGTAATCAGACCAACAAAAGCAAGAAGTTGCTCTACAAAACCAGTGGTTTCCAAGCTCCAAATGGCTAGGTTCCGCCAAAAGGGGACACCGGGGGGTGTTCCCTCCGAACCACCGTGCCCCCTCCGAACCGGTCGGTTTCCTGCCTCAAACCCCTCCCCTCGGTGTTTGAAGCCCCACCCCTCCGCCGCCCGTGGGCCAAGCCGCCGTGGGCTCCGGCTTCGTCTGGCTGAGGGCTCGCTCGGTCGGAGGGCCTCGAAGCGGACCGAAGCTCGGTGGGGAACACAGCGGAGTCAACTCACCGGGTATGGTGCTGAGTGAGATGTCAATGTATAGTGTAAAACATGGTCTTGGACTCCCAGGGTACATATACCTGGACCATCCTGTCGGGGTATCCAATAGACCACCCTACCATACTTGTGGATTTCCATTGGACACCCCGACAGGATGCTCCTGGTACATATATAATGGAGAGGTGTCAACTTGAGTGTCGGCTCATGATTCTGAGATTATGATATCGACAGTAACGGTTGAGTCAAACACAAACCGGAGTCTGCAGTAACTAGACTGTTGCTAGAAATGGGAGACCCATGACTCAACCCCCTCTTCCAGGTTTGGATGGGATCATAAATCATCGGTTGGATGTTGGGGAGACCCCATTCCATACACATCCAAGTCTGACATCATGTTGACTGTTGATCACCGAACGCGATGTTGGACCATTTCTCACGCGTGTTTTCTCGTTTTTGTTTGAGCACCGAACGCGATGTTGGTCCAATGTTGCTTCTTTTGATGTAACACGATGTAGCCGCCTTTCTCCATCTGGTACTGTTGAAACACACACGCACACCGAATCTGGTCCCCAAGCTCTTCATGATGTGTTGAGCCAAACATGGGCAAACCAAAATCCATTCACCCAGAACCTTACAACGTCAGTGTGGCATGACCAACCAGCCCCCAAACTAAACATCCCGAGTTCCCAGAAATATGACAATATGAGGCAAACACTCCTGAAAACAAACTCTATTGCTTCACAATTCACCAGGGGTAGTGCTGGATCTTGAATTCTTTGATAATCACGCCCCGTTATTTCAATAATATGCTGCGGTAATTCAATGCCAGGACATTGAGGCAGTACGGTTCCAAGTCAAATAATGACGGGCTTTCCGTGACCCACAAACGCTTGTCTGACATGTCAGAGTGCCACTGGTGCCCGCATCCCGGTCGCCCCACTCACAATCGCAGAATTCAAATGGTTCTAACCGCACTGTGGCAAATGTTGCTTCACTCAGCCCGGTCCCCCCACTGAGCAAACTCGCCCGCACCTCCCAGTGAACCGCCCGCATGTCCGCCACCAGCGGCGGCAGCAGCCAGCCGCTGCTGCCGCATCGTTTCAGCGCGATCCTGTTGAAACACGCCGGAGAAACAGGCGTTTCGCGGCTCAGTCGACCTTCGGGTAGACAGCCCCCGGGCCGCCGCAAAGAAGGGCCAAGGAAGATCCTAGAAACACTCAGGTGGACGCGAGAAACGTCATGGACCACTCCTGGATCTGCACCCGGATCTCTTCTTCTCCAACTGCGCGGCTTTCCTTCAGCACAGCCTGTACAGCTCCGTCGAGTTCAATGACCACCATGCGAGTAGGTTCAACTCCTAAAAGACTCGCCTGAAAGGCCTCATCAACATCCAATTCAACCTCTGTTTCTTCCAGAAAGGAACATGAGTGTCAAGCAAGTGAGACTGGAAACCAAGACGAAAGAAACGCGCGTTGCTTGATCATGGTCTTCAAGTGTTGCCATGTCTGGCCCAGTCTTCAACTCTTGCCCGGTCCGCTCGGCATCCATGGATGCCGGGCATGAAACCATCAGAATGAGGGCTCCTTCTTAAGGTCATACATGAACTGCGGCAAGAAGAACCATCATTGCATATATAATACTGTTACGAAAACATCTCTCACACGAAACATCAATCTTATTGTCCTTCATGTTGGTCCATTTGTACAATGCATCGAGAGTGTTTTTGGAATGTGCTCAGACTTGGTCGGGACAATCATGAAAATTTTACACACATCCCACAACCTGCAGGTTCTTTCTCTTGGGTCAAATGTTCCTGTGATCTGAAAAAAAGAAACACACTCATGTCCAAATGTTTAATGACTATTAATACCAACAATTGCATCTGCAGCCTCATCTTCTGCACCCGTTCCGCCTGATTGGTCGATTCGACCACCTGCCGACAAGTCTGGAAGGTCCAGATGATTCGAAGGGTTCCCTAATCTGAAGAAAACACCAGCCCAAATCGGCATAGAAAAACCCTGACAGTCCAGTCGACCATGTTCAAAATGGTCTTTGGTCTGACTAGGTGATCCGAAAAGGCACTTCCTTTACTTGGGTGGTGCCTAAAATAGTCTTTGGACTTCTAGGGTGTATATATATATATATATGTTACAGATTGTTACATTATTGTTATGCTAATCCTCTCAAAATCAAGGGCGCACAGTCACAAGTGGGCATGGGTGTTTATCATGGTGTGCCAACTTTGCAAACTGCCTGTTTTTCCTCCACACTCTGTATGACATTGAAGGAGCTCCGAGGGCAAAGGTGTCCTTCTGCCAATCAGGAGCCTATGGTTGGTGTCAGGAGATGGAGGCGCTTGCTCTGGAGACCACCAAGCAGGCACCTGCTTTTATTCAGGGATGGGACAACATACTTTCATACATATATATATATACTTTCCAAATGAAGAGGAAGTACCTGGCGTACAACCTTCGTGTGGCATCATGAAGTCTTCACCACAGCTGTCTTTGACAGATTGAGCAGCCATGAAGCGCTGCTTGAGCTTTGGCAAGGGCGACCTGACCCACACTTTGTGGAGGAAGGGACAGAAGGTGTTCTGCTTTTTCTAAAGTGCAGGGCGCTTGCACTGTCGGAGCAGGAGGGCTAACCAGGCGTCGTAGTCTCGCCTCTCCTCTCAAGAGATGCCGGTGAATCGGATCGGCAAATCAGCCCAACCTTCTTCCGGCCAATGCCGGTGGAGACGGACTTCTAGCAAAATTCATGACTTTGAAAGAGAGCCGCAGAAGAACATCGTCCAGGATCATCCAACCTGTTTGGAGAACCACTCATGTATATATTATATATGATATATCCTTCTCGAATGGCTGGAGTTCATGGTGGATTTTGGAATTTTGGGCTTCACTCATCTGGGTTTCGCCACTGGAATCTGAGAGGAAGGTATATCCGCTTGGCCACTAGTGGCAAGTGTGTGACTGAAATTGATCAATGTCTTCTTTTTTGGGGGTGGGGAACTAATAATGCAGTTTACACATGTTTATACCTCTAAAAACAAGAGATGCTGGTGTATGGAATTGGGCTGTCAACATACTTTTGCACCGTCGCTCAGTGGTGTTGGGATGTCATTGCCGAAGCCTGAAAAATATGTTCAGATCTCTTCAGAAGTGTCATATTGTCGACACTCGATGCTTTAGCATTTGATTGAACAAACACAATAACATGAATTCACCGCAATTCACCTCAGGTTCCTCAGTGACATATTATGCAGCAAACCTTTGCAACCCGCCCTGGCAAAGCAGCCCTCTTTCTGCATTCGTTGTGATGACCTTCCAAAAAAGATGTGCTTCACACGTTGATCTCTTGGCGCACGGAAGGTTTTCCCAACAGAAACAATCTCCACCAACATGAATAAGCCGTCATCTAGCCTTACTTCCGTCCAGAAAAGAACGGCACTTTTGTACATCAACCTGTCGATGTTCCTCCAGGTCCTTCGGCTTGCTAGTACTTTTCACCAACACCATCCGCTTGGTACTCGCCGGCTTCTCACCCGGCTGCTCCTCCCAACACAGGAACATGCTTCCATGCATACGTCATACGCCACATGGCACCACCTCACCACCCCCGTCCGCGCGTCCGCGTCCGCGCGTCCGCGTCCGCTGGTCGCGCCGGATGGTCGGCGGATGGTCGACGGTCCGCCTCCTTGACAAAGCGCTCGATCGCACATGGCTCAGCCCGGTGGACGAAGGATTGGACCTCAAGACCCGGTCAGGGAACGTCCCTTCAGTGCGACCGGTGCCATTGGGTGCGAGAAGGAGGAGGGGGAGGTAGGGTATGGAGGTTCCGAGAAGAAAGACCTGGAGGGTGGGATGGCATCTATGCAAACTTGACTTGTTGGATTTGGTTCGATGGTGCCAGCGCTGCTTCCAAGAAGTTCTCCCCCCAGTCAACCCCAGGAGCTAATCCTAATGGAGCGAACACCCCTTCAGAGGCGATGAGGTCAGCGCCCATGACAATCCCTTCGGTCAAACAGCACTGCCTGCTGAATGGATGGCTTAAAGCTGCGTAGAACACCAATATTCTCCACAAAAACAGTATGCTGATGTATGCTGCTTCCATTAGAAGGCTTCTATGTACCCCAAACTGCCAGAATCACATCGAATGAAAAGGGAACATGGTTGAATACCCTCACTTTAAGACAAGGATGAGATGCGGGCTGGACTAGCGGATTGGATGGAATTCATGACTTGCAAGACTTCACTCCATCTGCTGGATCAAGAGCCAGAGACAGAATGCCTGTCCAATTTTTGGCTCCATTTTAAATCTATAAGGGCGTCAAGCCTGAGTCCTTACATTCCAAAAGATTGGCCACTCCGAGCGTCCAAGAATGGACATCGGTCAGGAACACCCCGACCCTTCTCGAAGGCCAGAACCTTCGGTCTGGGCCCCTGACTGCGTCGTTCAGGTCAGGCTCTGGGAGAACCTGAAGATTCTGCTCCCCGTCGATGTACTTGTAGATGATGTCCTGGAGTAAAACTTGTATAAATGTCTGGAGCTCAACAACAACAACAACAACCACAACAACCACAACAACCACAACAACCACAACAACCACAACAACCACAACAACCACAACAACCACAACCACAACAACCACAACAACCACAACAACCACAACAACCACAACAACCACAAC